AGCAACATGTTACAACCATCCAGAACACCCTAGCAACTGTAAAGCAGGGTTACAACCCAAACATCCAAGAAACTGCGTAGCAACATTACAACAATCCAGAACACTCTAGAAACAGTGTACCAATGAGTAACAACCATCCAGAACACCTGAGTAACTGCATAGCAACATTACGATCATCCAGAACACCCTAGCAACTGTATAGCAATGCTACAGCCATCCAGAGCATCCTAGCAACGGCATAGCAACATGCTAAAACCATTCAGAACACCCTAGCAACTGCATAGAAACATGTTACAACCATCCAGAACACCGTAGCAACTGTGTACCAATGAGTAACAACCATCCAGAACACCCTAGCGACTACATAGCAACATTATGATCATCCAGAACACCCTAGCAACTGTAAAGCAGTTTTACAAACCAAACATCCTAGCAACTGCGTAGCAACATTACAACAATCCAGAACACACAAGCAACAACATAGCAACATGTTACAACCATCCAGAACACCCTAGCAACTGTAAAGCAGGGTTACAACCCAAACATCCAAGAAACTGCGTAGCAACATTACAACAATCCAGAACACTCTAGAAACAGTGTACCAATGAGTAACAACCATCCAGAACACCCGAGTAACTGCATAGCAACATTACGATCATCAAGAACACCCTAGCTACTGTATAGCAATGCTACGGCCATCCAGAGCATCCTAGCAACTGCATAGCAACATGCTAAAACCATTCAGAACACCCTAGCAACTTTATAGTAACATTACAACCATCCAGAACACCTATAACTATAACATACACCTATAACAAGCCACCTATAACATCCTAGCAACCACACAGCAATGTGTTAAAAGCACCAGAACACCCTAGCAACTGTATGACAATGCCCTGGCAATCATCTCAAATGTTGTGTCAACACAAAACTAAATACATTGCAATGTGGGTGAACTTTTCTGCTGATAGGCAAAGTCTGGCGGCGCATACTAAGTGCAGCGGACGATATTCTTAATCATAAGAGACCTTTTAGTGAAGATAAGCTATTTCATTTTCTGTGTTCGTTGTGTGTGTTTTTGGCAAATGCCACTATGAAGAATGTCTGTGGCTGAATATTTTCCAGCGCTCGTGGCAATTTTAATTGCACATATAATGCTATTGACAGAAAGCACACATATCTTCAGCCTGCCTGAGGGTGTGAGTGCTGAGTCTCTATGAAACAAATCAACGTTATGATGTGTGGAGAAAGCTTCATATTAATACACCACACACACACACAGGCCGTTGTCAAAGACCATTCTATTTCACATCAGCAAAGGCTGCAAACATTTTATTGCTTTGAGCATCAATTCCCATGTTAATGTATCTATCCAGTAGGTTTTTACCATCACTTTATGATAGTAGTATGTGCATGAATAAATGACATAAAACACTAAAGTGCCTTTAGGCATTTGAACAGTGCTTTGTTGAAGATATTCATTTAAGAAACATTTTGTTATTTTTAGGAGAAAGGAGAGGTTCTCAACAACTGTTTCAATATGGCTGCAGTAATACAGACTTTATATCTGTATATTATTATTCAATAATATATTATTATTGGTACTATTATTGTTTTTCAAAATAAATATACAAAAAATATATATATAAAAACATATATAGACACATAACTGAAAAGATAAATTATAATAATAAAATACCTAGGGGCGTAGGTTTGATTTTGACATTGGTGGGGACATAACAGCAAAATCAAAAGTACTGTAAAGTATACAGCTGTTTCATAATCAATATTCCTCCAGTTCCATAAGCCAAGGTTGCTGCTGGACCTATCAGAGATCTGGGATTGATATCGTGAACCTCCAGGTTCAGAGCAGATCAATGAGAGACTGAGACCCGATTGAGGCTGAAAGACACACAAGAGCCACGATGGACGATCTATTTGGAATTAAAGCACAGAAGACATTGATCAGATCAAGATTTATATCTGAAATAGATGGCCCTCCTTCAGCCCGACAAAGACAAATGACCAAAGTAGCTCTATTCACTGCTTATGAGCCCTAGATTGGCTTTTTGGATCCATATAAGAGCTGTTTTTGAGGAACTACATGCTTGTGTGCTACAGTTTGAAGCACGCTTCCCATACAAAACAGCACTGCGCTGCATGTAATCAACACTTTTCCCAATTAGTTAATTGTGGCAGCTGTAATCTGTAATTATTTCTATAATTAATTTTGCAGTCCTACATCACTGATGATCTTGTTAAGAACAGCGCTTTCTCCAGGTCCTCCTTTTTCTTGAACATACTGCACAATCCTCTGACATTTGCTGTACAGTCACCCAATGAAATCATGACAGCACCAAATTTCCTTCAGTCTTCTCTCCTCAGTATAAGCTCTTTATAAATCGTGACTTTCTCCACCAGAACTTTAGAAAACCTCCCTAATGTCTCTCCAGAACATCCTGCAAAACTCCTCACGCTCCGTCCCGCTGCAGTCGAGCTCTGAGTCACGCGTCACAAATCTGCTCAACATCTACACTGCAAGAACTCTGTGTGCCTCAATAAAAACAGTTATTGAGGGGAAAAGAAATTTGAGCATTTTAAGTTAGGAAATTAAAAATAAATATTAAAACATGCACATTTTAAAATTAATATTATATTTATGCATTTACGTTTATCCAATAGACTTACAAAAGTATGAATATGAAATATTATATTAATTACATTATACTGTATATTCATGTATATGTGTGTATATATATACATAATTTTAATTAATGGTTGAAAGCTACTGCCAGACTGTTTGGCTCAGTTTTGAGTGACAACATTTATAACATTTATAATCATGGGATTTTATAATTAATAATATTAAAACAACAACACGATAATATACAAATATATGTTTTTACAATGCTCTTAAAATTTATTGTAACATTTTATAGCATATTATTATTAACAAATAAATATAAAATAAAACATTGCACTGTAAGAACTATGTGCTTCAATAAAAGCAATCATTATTGAGAGGAAAAGAAATATGATTTCAGTTTACATAGCGATTGTTTTAGCTTTTTAATTAAGTTAGGTAATTTAAATAAAAAATAAACATAAATATTGATTAATTAAAACATTCACATTTTATTATTAATATTACACGTACATTTATGCATTTCCCAGATGCTTTTATCAAAAGTGACTTGCAAAAAATGATTAATATTAAGATTATAAAATTTTAAATAAAACAAAGAAAAACATTTATAAACATGTTTTTCTAATATAATTAATTAATATTAAAACAACAATCCAATAATATACATATACATGCTTTTAAAATGTTCTTACAATTATAATATTTTGTCACTTTTTATAGCATATTATTAACAAATATATATAAAACAAAAATTTTAAACATTACACTACAAGAACTCTATTTGCTTTAATAAAAAACAACAATTATTGAGGGGGGAAGAAATATGACTTCAGTTTTAAGTTAGGTAATTAAAAACAAATGTTAATTAAAACATTCACATTTTAATACTAGTATACTGACATATCTGCATTTAGCAGATTATGAACATGGGATTTTATGTCTACAGAATTCATATGTTTCCATTCATCTTGTTCTGTTGGGAGCACAAGAGCTGACATTGTATCCAGGGTTCTAAACTCACATCAGACAGAATCGGGTCAAACGCTGCACATGCTAGAAAGACTCTTTGGTGACAGAACTCAGCCCTTGACACCACAAACCAACTGTGCCTCAAATATAATATTCACAAACAAATTAATCTATAACACACAATGCATCTTCATGACAAACACTTTTGCCAAGCCTGTTAATTGATTAAAAATTAGAATTCCTGCATGCATCAATATTTACTGAGAAAAAAAAGCCCCCAAAATAAGGTAATTCGACAACACAATTACAGCAGACAAAAGCAGTGAATAAGATGCTGGGTCAACTTAAAAATAGCTCAACTTCTGTGTTTTGTTCAATTCTGTCAAGCTGCTTTTAAACACAAAAACATGTCCTGCGTGAACGACTCTTTTCGAACTCATAGCAAATAAACACTAAAATATTCCTAATAAGCAACACAATGGATTACCTGCAACAAAAGCATCAAACCAGCATAAATCAACCTAGAAAATGCTCTTATCCTGGTCTTAGCTGGTCTATCTAGCATAGACGCCAACGTTAAATTAATAATTTAGCCGAAAATGAAAATCCGGGTATTATTTTCTCATCCTCATGTTGTTCCAAATCTGCATGCTGTTATTTTTTTTTTAATCTCTGGAACACAAAAAGGAGAATTTTGATGGCGAGAATGTTTGCCTGAACTATTCCTTAACAAAAACAGTAATAAAGGATAATGGCACTTATTACAAAGCCCTCAATCGGTTGTTTTTGCAAAAAAAGGCCTAATATTACCACATTTGACGATGCTGACTTAAAAAATATATATATATATATATAAAAATGTACTATGTACAGTTTTCACTAAATAAGACTGAAGATGTTTCAAATTATATATATGTATCAGCTTTAAATATATCAAATAGAGTTAGCAAGATAACAAAAGCAGTCAAATTCCAAAAGTTTTGGTTTTAATGACAAAAAAGTATTCAAAAATCATATTTATCATCATTTATCATCATGAACTTACAATCTGCAAAGGAGTGGAAAAACTGGAAATCAGGATTATGCATAAAATAATGTTATCAGATTCATTCATACACGTGACACATGTGAAAATCAAATAAATAGTTGTAATCTGGTTCAAAAGGGAGACAGGAATCATGTATTTGTGGCAGTTTTTCTGCTGATTAAGGGATGTTGAAAGCAAAAATAATATGAAATGCACATATTTTCTGAGAAACTGTGACATGCTAGAGCAAAGCACACTATTTTTGCCATCAGCACCCCAAAATAAGTAAGAAATAAGTTTATCATTCAGCTAATTAGATGCAAAGCAGTGTTATTTGACTGGAGCGAGCTGGCTTACCGTAGTGACTGAGCCATGCGCCGCAGGTCTTCATTCTGCTGTTTCAGTCGCTCCAGCTTGGTGAGGATCTTCGCCAGCTCACGGCTGGAGCGCGGCGCATCTTCGTTGTCTCTCACCAGATGTCCCCCGATATAAAAGAGCAACGTCCCCCAGGCCAGCAGGACCAGCGCTATCCAGCGCCAGGAGCCTGCCCATGGACGCATGCTGCCGCCAAACTCCAGTCACAACCGATGGACGCCGGGCATGTTGGGTCTGCCAGTTAAAGTAGAGCTCTTAAAGTTGGCCGTCCAAATGTGGAAGGTCAAAAGAAGCGGTTGTGTCTATGTAGGTACATCAATACACCGTGGATATTTATGCATCATGACTCGTCAAGAAGGCAGATCTTCCATTCTGTATCTACAGTAGATGATTGTGGCGTTTCTGGCTTTGTAAGTTTTACTGGCGTCTTATTGGCTTTGACATCCTTTGGAGTCCAAAAGCTGGGTTCTCTGAATGCATTGCGGCTCTGGAGAAAGAAAGAGAGAAAGATGTTACAGTCAACTGGTCGGTGGGTTAGCAGACAGCAGAGAAAAAACAATGCCGTCTTCAAGTTAAAAAGTGTCACCATATGTGACCCTACAGCACAAAAGCAGTCTTAAGTCGCTGGGGTATATTTGTAGCAATAGCCAAAAATACACTGTATCGGTCAAAATGATAGATTTTTCTTTTATGGCAAAAATCATTAGGATATTAAGTAAAGATCATGTTCCATGAAGATATTTTGTAAATTTCCTACCGTAAATATATCAAAACTTAATTTTTGATTAGTAATATGCATTGCTAAGAACTTAATTCGGACAACTTTAAAGGAGATTTTCTCAATATTTAGATTTTTTTGCACCCTCAGATTCCAGATTTTCAAATAGTTGTATCTCAGACAAATATTGTCCTATCCTAACAAACCATACATCAATGGAAAGCATATTTATTCAGCTTTCAGATGATGCATAAATCACAATTTCAAAAAATTGACACTTGAGACTGGTTTTGTGGTCCAGGGTCACATATAATCAAAGATCGCTTATATAAAAAGAAGAAAAAAGTATTATCAATTATCTGTCGTTGATATCAAAGGTTAAATATCATCAACCAAAATGTCGTGTACATGTTCTTATTTGTGTGCACCGAAAAGGTTTCGATTTCTGCAAGATTCACAACAGGTGCAAAAATATATGTACATGTAACAGGTGCATAATATATATATATATATATATGTAAATGTTTGTTCTAACGTTGACAAATCTGAAAGGTTATATAAATATTCTGGCTTAAAACATTCCATGTTTCTAAGGCCAACAGGAGCTTGTGATTCCATGTGTTTTGAGTACTTTTAAAATTTTATTTAAATAATATATATCTATATAATTAATAGTAGGGCTGCACGATAAATCGCATGTGATACTTAACGCGCATCTTGTCAGTAAAGCCGCTTCTGTAATCAGCGGTAAATCTCCATCACCTGCGGGCTTTCACATTGAGCAGCATTAACTACACAGAGCCGTTGTTCACCGACAAGCTGCGCAAAACCACAATCATATTTTGCGCATGTTTTGTGCAGCTTGTCGGTGACGCACGCCTCTGTGTAGTAAATGCTGCTCAATGTGAAAGCCCGCAGGTGATGGAGATTTACCGCTGATTACAGAAGCGGCTTTACTGACAAGATGCGCGTTAAATATCGCATGCGATTTATCGTGCAGCCCTAATATATAGATATATCCTGCAATCCTGCAACTGGATATGCATCACTGCAAGGGTGCAATGCAGCAAAACTAGAACACTGCCAGTGTGTGATCCTGCATCACTGCAAGTGAGAAATGCAACATTACTAAAGTGTTCCTGTTAGAATCAACAAAGCTGTATACACTGCAAGCATGCAACGCTGCAAGAAAACACAGCTTAGATGTTGCAGTTGTAATTTAACTCACTGCAAGTGCATGTCTTTGCAACACCGCAAGCGATGACAGAACTAAAACGTTCCTTTTATAATCAATGAAGCTGTTCACATTGCAATTGCATAACCATGGAACACCGCAAGTGTGCCGTGAGGCAGTTCTAGAAAATTCCTGTTGTAATCAACAAAGCTGTGTATACTGCAAGCATGCAGCATTGTAAGAAAACACAACTAGAATGTTTCGGTTATAATCAATTAAACTCACTGCAAGTGCATGTTATTGCAACACTGCAAGTGTGCAGTGCAGCAGAACTAGAATGTTTCTGTTTAAAATCAACAACACTGACTAATCTGCAAGTGAGAAATGTAACAATTAAAATGATCCTGCTATAGTCAACAAAAGTTGTCTACACTGCAGGCGTGTGTGATCCTGCAATGCTGCAAGTGAGAAATGCAATAAAACTAGAATGTTCTGGTTAAAATCAACAAAGCTGTGTACACAGCAAGCATGCAAGAAAACACAACTACAATGTTCCAGTTATAATTAATTAAACTCAAACTGCATGCAGGCCATTGCAACACTGCAAGCAGTGTGACAGTGAAGTTGTGCAAATGCATGACACTGCAAGTGTGGAATTATTATATAAAGATTTCAGCTTCACACACTCCATATTCCTAAGGCCAAGAGGAGTTTAAATAATATTGAACAAAATTTGATTTCAATGCTCTTTGCTTACTTTTGTATGATAAACAATGTTTCTGTGTTGAGACGCTACTTCAAATCCAGAGTAAAATCTGAGCCCTGATTCAAAACAGTTGCTACAGAGAACACATCAGGCCAATGAAAATGAACTGAAAACATCCAAATACAACTAAAAATGCAGTCCAAAATCTGAGCCCTGATTCAAAACAGTTGCTACAGAGAACACATCGGGCCAATGAAAATGAACTGAAAACATCCAAATACAACTAAAAATGCAGTCCCTCACAACTAGGGATGCACCGATACCGATACTGGTATCGGTATCGGGCCCGATACTGGCCTCCTGTACTCGTACTCGTACTCGTTAAAATGCCCCGATACCAAACGCCGATACCACACAGCATGTG